CTCTCTCTCTCTCTCTCTCTCTCTCTCTCTCTCTCTCTCTCTCTCTCTCTCTCTCTCTCTCTCTCTCTCTCTCTCTCAGTGTGTCACATGCCAGCACCCCGCCTGCCGCGGCATCGCCGCGGCGCGCCTGTTACTTGTTTTTTTAAAGGCTAATTCTTTAAGCCCAACCAATATAATTACCTGTCAAATCTGGACAGGACGGCCTTCCAGGCTTTTTTTTATTGTCATTATAGTATTACGGGGAACCCCGTAGCAGCCACATCCGTGCTCAAGCCTCCAACGAGGGAACATGCGGGAGCTGCACCCACCAGCAGGTGCGATACCTGCTACAGCAGGTGGGCGATACCGGCCAGGGGTCAGCCGGTAGCATCTGGACTGAGCTTCTTCTATGGGCCAGTTACTGTGCCTCCCCTCCGGTCCCCTCCCCCTATGAACATCAGCAGTCCCTGCTCAATGCCACTCGGGGGGACCAACGGCATATGTCTAGGTGGCGGGCGCCAAGCTTGCCCAGGAAGGTACATGAGGCCAATGGGGATTGAACCCAAGTCCTCCTGAATGCCACTTGTGTGCCTTACCAACTGAGCTAGGCTGCTGGATGAAGGTCAGATTTCCAAAACATAACAGACCCATTTATAGCCGTAATAGCGTAATAAATTAAATAAATTTATTAAATTGATAATTCTGTTTTCTTCGGCTTTTCCCCCCCCCTACCTTTAACGCTGGTATGATGGGTGGAGAAGAGGAGGTGAAAGATGGGGGGAGGGAGGGGCAACGAGTCGAAGACCGAGGAGGAGGCAGAGAGACGTCAAGGAATATTTACAGATGTACAGCAGACTGGATGGGCCGAGATCATATCAGCAACATCCGGGCCGCCCGGACTAGCTCGGACCTGCCCGGAACACGCCCGGGTCGCCCGGACGGGCCCGCCGGGCAGCCCCGCTTGAATTGCATTCCTGGGCTGTTTCAGCCCACCGCGGCCACAGATCAGCGTCGGATTCGGACCCCCTTTGGGATCTCGCCGCACGGCACACGAAACGAAAACGAAACGAGTGCATCTGCCCACCAAAGGTGGCAAAATACAGTCGTTACTATTTATAGCAAACCGATGAACCTGGCCATCTTCTGGGGGAAGATACATTCGTTTCGTTTTTCGTTTCGTGTGCCGTGCGGCAACGCCTTTGGACCTTCCGAAAAGAAAACGACAGCCCTCAGGCCCACGATTTATTTTTTATTTTTTATTTTTTTTTGGGGGGGGGAAGGGTGGGGGCTAGAGCATCAGCCCCCCGAGTTTTCTTCAGCGCCCGTCCGAAGGCAGAACCTCCAGTCGACGTCCCTGCCCTTCGTCGCCACGCTCTGCACACCATCGCCTTGCAAACTGCAGGACACGCCCAGGTGAGTTCGTCATCCTCCTCTTCCACTGCCTCTTCCTCCTAATAGGCTCCTCTTCCTCCTCTTCCTCCTCCTCCTCCTCGTTCTGCTCCTCAGCCTCCTCTTCCACGTCTTCCTCCTGTTCTTCTTGTTCCTCCTCTTCCCCTCTTCCCCTCTTCCTCCTCTCCCTCCTTTTCCTCCTCCTCCTCCTCGTTCTCCTCCTCATCGTCGTTCTCCTCTTCCTCTTCTTCCACGTCTTCCTCCTGTTCTTCATGTTCCTCATGTTCCTCTTCTTCTCCTCCTCCTCTTCCTCCTCCTTGTCCTATTCTTCATCCTCCTCCTTTTCCAATTCGATCCAATTCTCCGCCTGTTCATCCTCTTCCTGCTCATCCTCTTCATTGTCTCCTCCTCATCCTCCTCCGCTTTTTCTTCACCATTCTCCCCCTCCACCTTCTCCTCCTCTTTCCCCATCCTCCTCCTCCTCCTCCTCCTCCTCCTCCTCCTCCTCCTCCTCCTCTTCTTCCTCCTGTTCGTCATCCTCCTCGTCCAACTCCATCCAATCCACGTCCTTGATTTTTCTGCGTATTCTTCACCTGCCTCTTCCTCCTCTTCTCTTCCTCCTCCTCTCTTCCTCCGCCTCTTCGTCATCCATTTCTCCGCCTCTTCCATCCGTCTGAAACTTCGCGCTTAAGAGAAGCACAGTCCTCTGCGCACGAGCAACTCCATCGGTCTCATCGATCCATGAACCTGGTTGTGGTTGTCCGCTGCTACACACACACAGAGAGAGAGAGAGAGAGAGAGAGAGAGAGAGAGAGAGAGAGAGGGAGA